TTGATTGCCCTCCCTACTTGCCTAACCCTCAAATAGTGTTTCAGGCCTTTTTTTTTTTTAGCATCAGCTGCTTGTGTCTAATGATCCTTTGAAGATGCAGCTCAAAATGCCACCACATCTGGGAAGTCTTTGTTGACTCCTCCAGATGTGCAAACCTTTAGTACTGGGCTACTTAAAGCTTAAGGTCTATCTTCCCTTCTCGCCTACATCCAGCAGCTATACACTAGAGCCTGGATTGTCACTTGAAGGAGGTGGCAGTGTGCTCTCTACTTTACAGATAAGGAAACTGAGGCTCAGGTCAGTCACACAGTTAGTACGTCTTCTTTCATTGGTTGTATGGCAGGAGCCATGCTACTCAAGCTGTGTAGCAAAGCTCAGACTGGAGGAAGACCCTCGCAAAGACCTTGCAAAGCAGGGGTCTTCGCAGCTGGCTCCCCCTATAACCCACCTTGATTTTGTTATTCTCCATTGTACTATTGGCTTTGCTTTTGCTTTCATTGTTGCCAAGGGCTAAGCTAACCTTTGATAAGCAGCACGGAAAAGAGGAGAACATAAACTTCCCAGGAGCTTTTCAGGACTGTGCTCCTGAAGAATGGAACACGCAGGGGCCAGATGGCGATCTTGGCATGGAATACCGAAACCTGCAGTTAGTTAGTCAAACATTGACTACCCTATCTCCACCTTTTGCAATGCCCCCCCTTTTGCAATCTAGTGAAGTTAGTGATGAAGAGTTTTATAGGAAAATTAGGGAAATGGAGTTATGGGAGAATACTGAATGGAATAACGCTGTTAGTCAGCAATGCCATGAAAAAACTCCCAGATTAGTCCCTACAGTGATGGGGCCATGGGGACCTGCATATTATATATCAGGGAAATTTTGGTTTCCCCCAGAGGGAAGAGAAATACAGATAAGATAGGGAATTTAATTTTGCTGCCTACTGTGCCCTATGAAGGGATGTATGATGAAGATATGAATTTATGGTTTTGGATTGATTATAAATTTACTGAAGCCTCTAGAACATCTTTGTGGGAAAGAATAAAGTGAAGAAAATGAGCACGGTGCCTGTGGATGAGGGCAGAATGGAAGGCTGGGAAGGCACAATAGAATAAATATTATGAAGGGATAAAATGTACCCGTTGCGTAGAAATATAGATGATGATACCTGCCTAGCTAACTGTGGCAGTGGGTGACCTGTATTTCAGCCTGAGCTGATAGACTCCATAGTCACTGCTACATGCTGCACGCTTCTGGGGTCACATGCATTACTTAGAAACCGCTTTGCATAGAAATGAGAGACACAATAGAATACATGTTACTAAGAAAAGTTTAGATCAAGGAACAGGAAAAGGTCACCTGTCTGACACTTGGCTAACCATGTATAGATCAGAAGGAAATAGAAAGAAAAAGCTTGCCTATGCTTGTTAATCAAAAGAATAAATAAAAAGTAATCATATCCTTGTGCAAAATGTTATAAATAAAGATGTCATCGGCACTTTGTCAAGAGACCTCCTCCAACTTACTCCGCATCCTGTCTCTCTGTGTGCCAACTCTGTCTCATCCTTTCGGGCAACCCACCCCTCGCGGGAGCTGGACTCCAACAATTGTATGAATGGAGGAACTGAATCCCTTGCAGAACTTCCCTCTAACTCCGCAAGTAGCCAACCTTGTATGCCCCTCCTGACACAATCCTGGGGCTCTCCGTTCTTCCTTACCAGGCCCTGTGCCCCTGCCCAGCTACCTGGGGGCCCCAGCAGAAGAAGGCCTCACCTGTGGAACTCATACTGCCCATGGCCAGCGTGCTTGATCTTGAAGTCCCCGGTGAAGTCAGGCAGCATGATTTTGTGCAGCTCACTCTGCAGAGTCACCAGCCCCTCCCTGGCCACTGTGGACAGACAGAAGCTGGGAGTCAGTGTGGTCCGCCTGCCTCCCTCCCTTCTGAGCCCTTCAGTGGCTCCTGCCTGCCCTGGGGAGAGAAGCTGACTTCCTTACTAACAGTTATTGCAGGTACAGCTCATGGAGCCCCTCTTGTGTACCAAGGGCCTGAGAAACACTAGGGGGCATCATCCCATCTCAGGTGGTGGTGGGATGTGGGTGCCCATTTTATGGATGAGGAAACAGAATGCCTCTGTCAGCAGCCCCACGAGGGGAGGACTGCTGTGTGCTTGGGTGGGTAGTCCTCTGCTGTCCTTCCCAGTGTCTAGCCTGTAGAAGATCTGTAAGGATTTTAGGCATAGATTCCTGCTGTTGGCATCTTTCTAGCTGGACAACCTTGAGCAAGCCCCCAACCTTCACTTTCTCCATCTGCCCGACCACAGTGACAACAATGGTTTCCTTGCTGGAGTGGCATGAGGATTAAAGGAGGTCGTTGCAAAGCAAATGAGGGTCTGGGAGGGTAAAAGCTTGGTGCCTGGCACACAGCAGGCCCTCCGTAAGTGCCTGGAACAACAAGCAGGGTTTACATTATTGAAAAATATGGAAAGGACCAAAAAGTCCAACTCTAGTAAAGGATTGGTTAAGTAAACATGGTACAGATAAAGAGAAATACCATCTGACTTCACTTATGTGTGGAATCTGAAAGAACAAATGAACAAACAACAGAAATAGACTCAAATACAGAGAACAAGCTGGTGGTTGCCATAGGGAAGGGGGACAAGGGGACTGGCAAAATAGGTGGAGATAAAGAGGTACAAGCTTTTAGTTATAAAATGAGTAAGTCATAGGGATGAAATGTACGGCTTGGGGAAAGAGTTACTAATACTGTAATATCTTTGTATGGTGACAAGTGGTAACTACACTTACTCTGGTGAGCATTTCATAATATATATTATTGGTGAATGTAGTACCCTTACATCAATATAATATTGTATATCAACTATACTTCAATAAATGAAAATAAAGATAAGAAAACAACATCAACAACAACAAAAAAACACAGTTAATTTTTACAGTGGAAAGGAACAAAGGGCGAATTTTGCCTGATTTAATAAACAGCATTTACTAGGACCCTCTGTTTGTTCTGAGATGCAAGAGACCCAAGATTCTGCCTTCAAGGAGGGCCTGTGTACACAGAAGTCCGGAGGCCTCCCTCCTTCAGCTTGCAGTCTTCCCTCCAGCAAACACAGGCCGGTCCCTCTGTCAGAATGGTACCTCTTGTCCCAGGCAAATTCCACTGTATCTTTTCTACCTCACCTCCTTCAAGAAGCCTTCCCTGATTTCCTTCTCTCTGCCCCCACCAAGTCTGGGTTCCCAACAACCCTGCCCGAGGGAATGTTGTTACCCCATTTAACAGATAAGGCGATCAAGGCTCCATGGATGTGAGGAGCAGCCCTGGGTGAATTACTGTGGAGAGCCGTATATAAGCACCTCAGCTCCCTTGGATGGATTAATCCTGATGCTTTGTTTCAGCATCTTTTTTGTTTTGTTTTGTTTTTCGATGCAGTAAATATTTATTGAATACTTAACAAGTACAAGGCACAGAGCTTGGAGGTGCAGAGAAAACAGAGATGAATGAAATATGTGAGAGAGACATGTACAACTAGCTGTAGTTTCTGTTGTGAGCATTGTCATACAGATGTTAACAACACACAAAAGGGAAATGGAGAAGCATAAAACCATCCCAGGCCCTCCTGGCAGTCCTGGAGCCAGCCCCGCCAGGGCAGCGGCCAAGTTTGTCGGTGCCCACATTTGGTTTTTTTTTTTTTGAGAGGGCATCTCTCATATTTATTGATCAAATGGTTGTTAACAACAATAAAATTCTGTATAGGGGAGTCAATGCTCAATGCACAATCATTATTCCACCCCAAGCCTAATTTTCATCAGTCTCCAATCTTCTGAAGCATAACGAACAAGTTCTTACATGGTGAACAAATTCTTACATAGTGAATAAGTTACATGGTGAACAGTACAAGGGCAGTCATCACAGAAACTTTCGGTTTTGATCATGCATTATGAACTATAAACAATCAGGTCAAATATGAATATTCATTTGATTTTTATACTTGATTTATATGTGGATACCACATTTCTCCCTTTATTATTATTATTATTATTATTTTTAATAAAATGTTTCAGCATCTTTTTAAAAAGAGTTCTACTTTGCACAGTCTTTAACACTGAGGTATAACAGTTAAGAAGTACCTAAAAGGCACGGATCTTAAAGACATTGCTACGCCATTTTTAAACGTTTATTGGCCCATGTAATCATCACCCAGAGCAAGATATGGCATCTTCCCAGCACCCCTGCAGGCTCTCTTGTGCCCCTCCGGTCACTCCTGCCTCCAGAGGTAACCACCACTCTGACTTCTGGTTTTAAGGCGTATGTTTTGTTCCAGTCATGGGGGTGGTAGCTGCCTTCCTTTCCCATCTCATGTTCTCACTTTCCTATGGTGTTCCCTGAAATCACTCCCAAATCAACTACTTGCACCCAAATCCTTATGTCTTTTGGCTAGTGGGGAGCCCAGTTAAGACAAGTAACATGTTCAAGTTGAACAGTGACTGGCCAGTGAGGCCAAAATCCTAGCCAGAGCTGCCTGGCCGGGAAGGCAGCTACACCCCTGAGGGAAAGTGACCTGTGTTCCTGCTGTACCCAGCGCAGCCTGGTACCAAGCGGATCAGCCAAGTCCAGCCAACTGCCACAGCTTCTTACCATACTCCAGGCCCTTGTCAGTGATCCTGGCGACCAGGCCAGCGTTGGCCCCCAAGGCCCCTGGGGCGGACATGAGCAGTAATCCCAGCAGTAGTGGGGGCAGGGCCCTGGCCGAGTTCGCCATCCTGGATTCCCAGTAGGGTGGGCCAGGACCCTTACAGCTGCTGGCTGGGCGCAGCTCCCTTATGTAGCCAGAGGGTGAGGGAGGGTGTGGCTTCAGAGGGGGGGCAGGCTCCTGGGACCAGGAATGGGAGGCTCAGGGACTGGAACTTGCTTGCGACACTGTTAGGGTCACGTGTTGGACACAGAAGCCCGTTGTTGCTGCACCCAGGCAGAGGGTGGATTGGCCTGGCCCCAGGTGACAATCTCTACCTACCCTTCCCACAAGAAGACCCAGTTTTACAAACTAGGAAACAGCCACCTGGTGAGCAGCAGAGCTGGGAGTCAAAGCCAGGTCTGGTGCCATGCAAATTCTCTCTTCTTTATCCTTGACTCTTGTTTATTTAAAAAAGAAATCTCCCCCACCTCCCGCCCTGCCCCACATGGGGAAACAGGCTTCCTCAAATCCTGCTGGTAGTAAGATTTTCTGGAAGGCAACTTGGCAAATCTTTAAGCACCCACATGCCCAGTGACCCAGCAATTTTACTTCTGGAACTTGACCCTAAGTACATAACTAAGTCAGTGTGCAAATATGTCACTGCACCAAGATGCCCGCTGGTGTGCTCTGTGAAATAGGAGAGGAAAGAGAAGATCCCCACCTAAAGTGTCTGACAAAGGGCATGGGTCAGATTGAATACGATACACTTAAAGCAGGGCTGCAGAAATAATTGCATTTATTGATGTGAAAGATACTCATGGGGATCAGTTTTCAATGGCACCATATAGCAAGGTTCTTCAGCCTATTCCCATGTCTATTGATCTGAAAAATTTTTAGCAAGGAGTTATGAGGGATTGTCTCTGGCTGGATGGGCAGGATTATGAGTGTTTTAAAAATCTTTTTGTTTGTTGGGATTTAAATTTTTAATTTTCTTAGAGATATATTTTATTTGCAATAAGTAAAGATAATACAATTTCATTTTTGAAAACAAAATTTATAGTAAGGATTTGGCTTAATTTGTAGGGACCCTCCCTCAGGACTCCTTATATTTGTGAGCTTTGTTTTGCACTCCCCCACCTCCAGGAAGCCTTCCCTGATCACTGCCATGTTTCCCTGAGTCAGGGAAAGGTCCTCCTCTGAGGTCCCAGAATCTTCTATACTTTCTCCATCATAGCATTAACTATTCTCTGCTTTTTCATAATTGTGGTCCTCTAAAAATATGCCCACAGATTTTCTGATATCTTTTCCATCAAAAAGTGGAGTCCTTTGAAATTTGGTGGGACTTTATGACTGCCTTAACAAACTGAATGAAGTGGGAGCAACAGTTTCTTCCCAGTGGGTCATAAAAGGCACTGGAATTGGGGTCAAGATCAGAACTTCCTGTGCTGGGCAGAGGGAAACCTATAGCAGGGCCTCTCTGTTCCTCTGGACCCCTGTGTTCCCGCCCATCAGGCTGAGGTCTGTTGGGGGTCCTCTGTCCCCCCCAACCAGCCTGTGTGCTCCTGAGGGTGGGACTGAGCCTTCTGAGCCCTGTGACACTGCCAGCGTTAGGCAGGACCCGGCAGGACACTGATACTTACAGAACTCCTACTACATCCTAGACCCTGTGCTGGTTATGCACACTGCCTCTCAGCCCTGAGGCAGCCCTGGAAGGTGGGCATCCAGTCTTGTTTTGAGCTGAAGAAACTGAGGCTCCACAGGGTGACGTGATTTTGGCCATAGTCACCCAGCAGAGATTTGAACTCAGATCTGTGGATGCCGTATCATAACAATGGTTAGGGAAGGCTTCTCTGAGGCAACATGCTGAGGCAAGGCCCTAAGGACCAGAAGGAGCCAGCTTTTGGAAGAACCATTCCAGCCTGGGCAGAGAGCAAGGACAGAGACCTGGCTGTGGGCAAGCATCTGCAGGTGGCTCCTCGTTTGCCAGGGGTATCTGCTTCCTGGACTCAGGCTGTGGAGCGGGTAGGGGTCCTAGGCTAGGAGTTGGGAAACCAGGGTTCCGAGCTGGCTCAGCGTCTGCCTGGCCATGTGGGCCTCAGCAAACCTTGTTTCCTCCTTGTACCTCAGTTTCCCTGTGTAAAATGAGGGGCACAGAGCAGGGGACTCCCATCGGCTCTTCCAGCTTGGAAAGTGGGGAGCACAGTCTGGAGAGGGGGTCTCCAGGGGTACAGATGTCACCCTTCTTCTGGAGGTATGCTGAGGATGACCTAGGCTGGGGACCCTTGGCAGGGGCAGGAATTCCCACAGCAGTGACCTTAGGACCAGTGTGCCACCTGGGCCCCAGACAGGTCTCCACCCACCCAGGGGCTCGCCCCCGGCTGAAGGTCCGTGCTGGTGACCCAGGACCCAGAGAGGCTCCTGGGAGCAGCAGGACTCCAGTGTTGCTCAGACCCCAGGCCTTTCTTCTGCCAGGCTGTCCACCCGCTTCCCTGGCAGTGGTAACTACCACTGTCACCAGGTCCACAGCAATGAAACACTGGCCCCTTTAACCAGAGCGGTGTTTATTGTACTGTCGTTACAAAACTATTGATTGAAAGAGTTTGGAAAACCTACAGTTTGCAAACCACAGTGCCTGGAATACTAAGCAGCATAGAATAGGTAATTGTTGGAAGTGGGACTGAACATTAAGCAGAAAACAGCATCAGGTGATGGCCATGGCCTCTGAGGCCAGACGGTCTGGGTTTGAATCCTGACACGCCCACTGCATGACCTTGGGCACTTGGTGACTCTTTGTCTATAGGTGGGCTCAGCCAAAGGGTGGTGCAGCAGGAGGTCAGAGGTCAGGAGGAGAGAGGGGTCAGAGCACATGTCTGCTCCCTCTGCTTTGGTTTTTTGTTCTGGTAGTGGGTGTGTCAGTCCCCAAACCCTTGGCTCCAGCCCAGGATACTCCAGCCCCTTTCTTTGCAGCTTCAAGCCTAAGGACAATCGCTCCTGGGGGCTTGACATCTTTTGCCAGTGTCCTTACGCCTGTTCCCCAACTCTATAAACAGCGCCTTCATTCGAAGCCCAAGAGCCATCTGCCTTGGGTTCTGCTCTCCAGCCTAGACCTCGGTCAACACAGCACACTGAGCATTTCTTCTGCACTTATCCATCTTCTGTAGCAAATGCCTTCCTCTTGTGTAAAGCTTTAAATTCTCTTTCAAGGTCTCTACAGGTCCTGTGTGGGGACAGCAGACTGCAAAAGTCAGAACTGAGAATACACAGCAACCCATGCTCTGCCACCAAGGTCGTCTCTGGGGGTCCCCGAGGAAGCCTTTGCAGAGAGGTGACGTCCTGTTGGAGCGTGAAGGTCACATGGAGGTTTGGTGCAGGAGAGAGCAAAGGGCAGTCTAGGAGGAGGGAGCAGCAAGCACAGGAACACGGAGCAGTGAGGTGTGAGGGACTGGCCGCAGGAAGCCTGAGTCCTTGCAGAGGCTCTGGGTGACATGGGGCCAACCAGGCCCCTCTCTGATCCTCACTTTCCCGCAAATGCAGATGAAGCCATTGAACCAGGACAGCATTTCTCAAATCACCCAGGGAGCTTGTTTATTTACCCATTTATTTTAAACATATCTTTCTTGAGGTATAAGTTTAAGGTGTACATTTTAATTTGATATACTTACATATTGCAATATGATTACCACTATAGTGTGAACTGGCATCTCTATCAGGTCATATAGTTATCATATCCTTTTGTGGTGGGAACAGTTCAGACCTAGTTTCTTAGCAAATTTGAAGTTTATTATGTGGTATTGTTATCTCTAATCAGTATGCTGTGCATTAGATCTCCAGAGCTTATTTATCTACCAGTTCCAAGAATGTACCCTTAAATAACATCTCCCCAGCTCCCCTAACCCCAGCCTCTGGTAACCACTTTCCTACTCTCTGTTTTTATGAATTTGGCTTTTTTTTAGATTCCACATGTAAGTGATAGCACACAGTATTTTTCTCTCTCTGCCTGACTTATTTCACTTGGTATAATGCCCTCAAGTTCCATCCATGTTGTTGCAAATGGCAGATTCTCTGTCTTTTCCAGGACTGAAATATATTCCATTTCATGTGTATTTGTGTGTGTGTGTGTGTGTGTGTGTGTGTGTGTACACACCTTCTTGATATGGGTGCTCTTGCCCTTGATGTGGGTAGTTCCTTGATAAGGGAACTCTTGTACACTGTTGGTGGGAATGTAAACTGGTGCAGCCGCTACGGAAAACAGTACGGAAGTTCTTCAAAAAATTAAAAATAGGACTACCGCAGGATCCTGCATGTCCATGATTATAGCAGCATTATTCACAATAGCCAAGACATGGTAATAACTCTTTATCCATTCATCAGGAGTCTGACAACAGATGAATGGATAAAGAAGAGGTGGTATATATATGCACGAAGAATCTTGTTACGTGCAAATTCAGCTTCATCAGTTCCTTTGGGAGCTGAGACTGCATTTCTAACAAGCTCCCACATGGGGCCAGTCTTGGACTGTGCTTTGAGAACAAGGGATTACATGAGCTCCAAGTTCCCTCCAAGCTCAGTGGTTCTGTAACTCTGGTCACTCTTATTGTCAGGGTGTTTTTCTGCCATGCCGCCCACACTCCTTAGAACATCGGCTCTAGTGGAATAGAACCAGGTTATGGAGACCTGCAATTCGGATCTCTGTAGGGGAATATGGAGTTGAGAGTTTGATATTTATGGCAGACCCCCTCCTCCAGCCCCATCACCTGCAGATCTGTACACACACACATGGGCCCTAAGTCATGTGGATTTACAGAAGAAAAATAGTACTCTAGTGATGATTCAGTGTGGTTTGAAGATTGTGTCACCTACTTGGGGTGCTAGGAGACCCTCTGGAACAGGGTGACCCCACAGCCCCTCACCCCAGGGAGACTCTAAGGAACTTGAGGACCCTCCCATCTCTCCCTCCACCCACTCTTCACCTCTACAATTGGCAGCATCTAAAATCCTGGCAGTAGCTTCATTTTACTGAGCCTTAATAGGTTTGGGGACCCTAAGGAGCTTCTGTTAAAATCAAAATTTCTCAGCGAGAAAAGATTCTTGATATTTGCCAGAGCTCACTTTATTGGGTTGCTTTCCTGGAATTCCAGAGAGCCCTTGCTTTTACAGACAGGGAAATTGAGACCTAGGGAGGGAGAAGGACTAGTCGCACTGTGAGTCCATCCATGAACCTAGATTTCTGGCCACATTTCAGTGGTTCTGATTCTTGGGGTCAGGCCCAGTCAGGCAGGCAGCCCTAGATCATCCTTTGAAAATAATGACATAGGACTTTGAGTCACACAAGTATAAATTCAAAATCTAGATCATTTAAAAAATGTTTATTGAGTATCAACTGTATGGCAGGCATTGGGAACACAACTATGGCAAGCCAGATATAGTCCTTACAGTATAGTGAGAATTACTTGCCTTACTAATATCTAGAACTTTGATTACTTTGATTACTACTTGTTAGGTCCAATATCAGATTTCAGACACATGTGATTCTTATAGCATCTCCAGGAGGTAGGTACTGTTACGCCCCTCATTTTGCAGATGAGGCGGTTGAAGCCAAAGAGTTAATTGTTCAGGGTTCCACAGCTAGTAAATAGCAGAGCTAGGATTTGAACCCATGGGGCCTGGAACCACAGCTCCTGCTCTTAACCACCATGCCAAGAATCTACTGATGATATCACTGAGTCCACCCAACAACCTCACACCAAAGAGGAGGGCAGTGTTTCAGCTCCACTTTTTAGAAGACAAAATGGAACCAGAGAGGTGAAGTGATATTTGGCAAGTTGTGCAGCCCATGAGGGGCTAGGCTGACAGTTGAAATCAGGGCCGGGGGACTCCACAGGCCAAGCTCTGAACACTGAGCTCAGTGACCTCGGGCAGGACACACAGCCTCTCTAAATCTCAGACTATCCATCTGCCCTCAGAGGGGAGTCATGAGGATTCAGTGAGATAATATGAAGAGATTGGCCCAGGGCAGGGCCACTCATGGCCACTGACCAGATGTAGCAAAGTGGTGAACACAGTGGCTTATCTCTCTGTGACACATTGTACCCCTTCTCTGCCCCAGTTGGGTTCCCCCCTTTCATATTTCATAAGTCAGCATTTTTTCCCCTAAAGGAACCCAAACAGGGCAATGCTTAACTCAGAAGGGATGCTGCTCCAGTGCTGAGCTTTTAGGCAATCCTTTAAAAAAAAACAACAAAAAAGATTTATTGGCCTATATTTCACATACTGTTACAGTCACCCACTTAAAGTGTACAGTTCAGTGGTTTTTAGTATATGGACAGAGTTAGCCAACATTCACCACCATCTAATTTTAGAACACTTTCAACACCCCCCAAAGAGATGCCATACCCTTTAGTAGTCATTTGGAGTGGGCAATGCTTGGCCTAAAGGGAGAAACTGCTTAAATAGTGGTTTCGTAGGCAGCGTGGCAGATAATTTGGAGTGTCCTGGGGGATGCGCTTCCAATCATACCTCCAAACAACTGCCTATTTTTCAGCCATTAGGGAGCCGTCCACAGGGCACAGTGTGTTCCACTCACCAGTCTTTAGGTCTAAGAGATAATTGCATTTTTTTTCTGTAGAGAGTGGGGCAGGGGCTGCCTGAATGTTTTGGAAAGTAGAGGCTAGGTGCAGGAGGGGGCCAACTATACCCAAAGAGAATGGTGGGAGAAGAAGAGGGGGTCGGGGAGAACAGGGTTATGTCCTTGTACTTACCAGCTATGCTCCCCTCCACAGTCAGAGGGGTCTTTTAAAAATGTAAATTGGATTGTGTTGTTCTCCTGCTCAAAATTATCCAGTTATTTTCTTTGGAACAAAGTCCAGGTCTCCCAGCCTCATCCCATGCTATGCTCCCACTTGCTCTCTTCCTTCCAGCCTCACAGGCCGATTTTCTGTCCCTATTCAGTGCTTCCATTTGCCTTTGGCAAATAGAAAAAGATGTACTCTCTTGGTGGGCAGATTAGAGAAAGGAGTTTGTTCCTTCAGCCTGGTGCCTTTTTATAGTGTACAACCTGTACAACTGAACACAGTAGTCTTGCCTAAAATATGCTCAGCCCCAAGCAGATAAGGATTTGACTTCTGGGAGGGGTGGAAAAAGTGTGAGCTCTGATGGCAGAAAGGGTGGGAATCCCAGCTCTGCCACTTGCTGCTGTGTGATCCCGGGAGAGTGACTCAGTCTAAAAGGATTGAGCAATTTCCACCTTTGGGGACAGAAAATGCTGTGAGGAATACACGTAATTATTCATGTGCTATGCTTGAGCGATGTCCCTCCCCTCCCCAGTGTGGCCCCAGAGTCTCTACCTCCACTTAACAGAGAATCAGGGATGTTAGCAGAAGCAGGTGCATTTTTCTTTAAAATTAAAATTAAAAATATCTTTCATCTGCTTTTCCTCAGTACAGACGCTTCTCTCCATTTTTACTAAACAACTTGAATGAAATCTGAATGACAGCAGAGTCCTAATTTGTGCCCACTTCCTTCCACTCTTGACCCTCCAATTCTGTCAGAAGTCACAACAAAACATTTTGAAAACTAAATCCGGTCGTGTCCTCCCGTATCCCACTGCCTACTTCAAACTCTTTCTTATCGTCTGGTCTCAGACCACAAGTCAACAGCTGAAGGGTTTGCCTGGACTGCTTAATCAACTTGAAGTACGACGCTACCAGGACCCATGTAATGGCCTGAGATAGCCACTCCTAATGTCCCAGGGCAGACAATGGTGCAAAGCCCGCAGGGAGACTTACCAAGAGTCCAAGGACAGTCTGGGCTGGTGATCTGGTTCCACACTAGCCTGGAGAGTCAAGGGGAAGTGCTAATTGCAGCTGAGGATGTGACTGACTAAAAATTCCAATACCTCTGTCCCTTGACCCATTGTTCTGCTTTGGGCCCAGTGGCTGGGCAGGAGAGGTGGAGTAAAGGAGCCATCACCTTGGTGCCCAAGTGTGGTTAAGAAAACTGGCTGGATAGCGACACCGTGTGGTGGTGACAGGAGCAACAGTCACCTTGTATTGATTACATAGCAAGGCGATGGGCTATGCTGAATCACTGTTTAACAGCGACACCGAGCGGCGATATGAGGAACAACAGCCCAGTGGGCGGATCCACTCCACAGACCAGCTTGACATGGAAGCAAGCTCCCTTTGGACTGAGTAAACTCCCTTTGGACTTAGTAAACCCCAAGTCTTCTTGGACTGTATGGAATGAAGGGTGTCTCAAAAAGGGACTTTCTGCTAAGGAAGGCATTTGGAGGCTCAAGAAACTAACTGAAGAAACAGGTGATTGTGCTGGAAACTGGCCCTTCAAGCCAATGAATGAATGAATGAATATAAAACAAGAAACACAATACCATCACACAGAATTCCTCAGACAAAACATTTTTTGGGGGGCAAGGGGTGAAGCACAAATAGAAATATTGTGGTTATAACTGAAATGCAATTCCTGGAGGAGATGACTGTGCAGCCTTGGCTTTTGAAAGACACCCATAATCCCTAAAATAGACACCACACAATTTTCCAAAGAACTGAGTTCAGAGAAGCTGGCAAAACTCTCTGGTGAGAGCTGGAGAGGGATGCCTGGAGGAAGGTGGCCTGTGCCCCATGGGCCTGTCATGAACAGGTGTTGATAGTCGCTCACCTCCTGGCACAGCTGACAGCCCCCAGCCCCCATGGCGACTTCAGCTGTACTGAACATCTGCACCAAACAGCAGGAAATCCTACGGAGAGATGGAAATACTGTCATCAGCTGGACGTGCACCCCTTGTTTGTGAGTGGGGGTGGGGCACTGGGTTTTTAGGAAACTTTGGGAGCCTGCTTATTGGGAAGGAGAGAGCAGAGCAAGGCCTGTCTGTTGACAGAAATGCAGGGGTAGGTGGTGGCCACTCGGGGTCTCTGTGCTTGGGTCTGCTTGTCTGTGGCTGCCAACACCTATGAATCTGTCAACAGCCTCCCTAGTAGCTCCTTCCTTCTCAGATGTGGAGAGGTTTGGGTTGCTGTGGAAGCCTTCATTTGTCATCCTTGCCTGATGGCAGCTCAGGAGAGCTCTTGGTCCAGTCAAGGCTACAAAACCACTTCTCTTTGCCCCTTCCTGCCCTTCACTCAGAATTTTCAGAAATTGAGAAATTAAATTGTGCCATGGGTCATTTTTTTTTTCAATAGATGAACTTGGTAAAATGTGGGGAACATGGAGGATGAGTTTCCTCTGCTCTGCCAGCTATTTTTCTACAGTCTCTTAGCCCCAGTACTTCCCTGGTCTATAGAACTGGGGATTGACTGACTAGACATCGGGAGTGAGGGGCAGTAAGGAATCTGGGTGACGTGGAGATTTCCCATGAGGGCCACAAGGTTATCAGGAAAGTCAAGGCAAGAAATGCAATAGTTTTCTTGCAGAATTATCAGCTTTGTTGGGACATGAAGGTCTTAAGAATCCTCAGGGTGGAGGTACAGAGGAAGCCAGCAAATGCACCACTCAGGACTGTGGAAACTGGAAGTGTGTCTGGGTAACTGGGTGGCACAAAGGTGGCTGTTAACCTGAGTGGATGAAAGTGACCAGGCAAAGCCAACTGTGGGGAAAGGGCAGAGACCTGGGAAGAATCCCTGGAGAACTCCCACTGGTGAGAGAAGAAAGGAGAAGGAGGAACCAGCAAAGGAGTCTGCAAGGGCTGGGAGAGGTGGCTGGGAAGCCAGGAGAGGAAGTCTTGAAGTTAAGAAGAGAAAGTATTTCAAGGATAGAGAAATAGTTTCAGATACTTGGGGGGTGGGGTGGGGGTGGGGATGGGGAGATGGTCAGGCTAAGGGAAATCAAGAGATGGGCACCCATTCTGGTATCTAAATCGACCAGACTCTGACCACACTTTATACCCCGCAGGCTAGAATGATGCTGGGTGCAGCGGAAGGCATGCAACCCATATTTGTCATATATTTAAATGCATCCACCTTATAAAAGAGGCTATCACAGATGACCACCAAATGAGTTCTGTTTTCACCAAGTGTAGTGTGGGAATGATGTATCCAATGGCGAAAGCAGGGACCTGGCTTTAATGTTGGACTGCATTTTATATCTGTGTGGCTTTTCTGAGACTTGGCCTTTCCCCTCTGTTCATTAACAGCACCCACCTGCAGGACTGTTGGAAAGGTAGAAAGCTTGATCCCAGGCTTGCACAGAGGAAGCTTCTTGGCAACAGGTTGCTATTGTTGGGGGAGATTTGTCAAAAAGAGACCTCTGGGACTCACCTGCTTAGATTGAAGCACCAGATTGAAGAGCTGGACATGGGTGGGCAGTGGGAGAGGGAACCCCTTCTGCAACCTCTCTGCAATGGAGAGAGAAGGTAAGGGCCAGGGGTGGGTAAGGTAGAGGTCAGGCAGGGGACCCAAGAGAGCCACGTGGGTGGCCTACCTGAACCAGTATGCCGGCTCTAGGTAGGGACTGGCACGTGTGTGCAGGCTGCCCTGGAGCGTCCCACTCTCTCCTCCACCATGCTTCAGGGGCCTGGGACCTGCACATTCCCATGCTATCAGCCCCAGGGCCACATCAGGACCTGTGTAGGTTCGTCCCCAAGACCATCCTCCTCTGCAGGTGATGGCATTGCTGGTGTACACGAGGCCCGAATGGCAGTGGGGCTGGATGCTTGCAAGGGAGACATAGGTGGATGTGGGATTGGGGATATCTACTCACGTGCACACAAAGCCCCTCAATGTTTAGGATGAAACCAGAGTTGGTCAAGAGCATGCTCCCCACTACCATCTCATTCTACATGGAACTCCAGAGAATTCTAAAGTCATACCAGTTTCCCTGGTCATTATGGAGCCACATTTGTTAAAACAGGAGGATACATCATACTCTATATAATAATTTGTTGTCTGATATGGTAATTTCCAAAAATTCTAGTTGCATAATATATGGGCTTCTATTTGTACTCCTGCACCTGGCTCTGCAAACATCAGGGGCTTTGTGGATGTGGGGAGTGTAAGCCTTTAGCTGAGGCTAGCCCTTCCTCCCTGCCCTTTCTGTGTTGGAAAAAACCAAGGGCTGTGGCTTCAAAGCTGGGATCAACTCCAAGCTCCATCTCTCACCTACTGTGTGACTCAGAACAAATCACTTAACGTCTCTGATCTTCCACTTTCCCCCACGAAAAGCAGAGATATTAATAATCCCCCATCTCATGGGGTTTAGGATTGGATGAAGTAATGGATGGGCATATGGTAGGAACTCAACCCATGAGCATTTCCCTTTATCCATCCCTTTCTGGGTCAGATGCCATTTGAGGTTTGTTTGAGGGGACCACCCTGCAGCCTGCACAACAGAGGCCAGGTATTAGGCGGCTCTAGGACTTCACCCCACCGACTTCCCCGAGGACTAAAAGTCAACTGTTTTCCCAAAGCTCCTTACCATTCACCTTGGGAAGCACAACCGTGGGCATGACATAATTCATGACAGCCTGCAGCAATTCAACCTGGCAATCAGAGGGACAGGACCCATGTCAGGGCACAGTGACATTGGGCCTCTGTCACCCTCCCTCTCACCCAGGGCCACCTCACAGCCGGGAACTGCAGAGAGATGGCCACAGTGAGGACGTGAAAACTCTGCAGCCCCATCAAGGTCACTGAAATGATCATTTGTGCTCTAAAGGTAAAGCACATTCTAAACTGTAAGGGGCAAGACGGGGGAGAAAAGTCATCAGAGAGTATCTAACATAAAAACCTTTGTGTAAGAAAATGCATCCTCTTGGATACTGCAGGCTATAGGGCAAAGTGGTTCAACCTTCCTTCCTGAGGGCTACTCAACAATTTCACTGAAAGCCTTAAAAATGTGTGTGCCTGGTGGGCTGGCACACATGCCTCTAACGCGTTTATCTTAAGGAAATGATGCAGGGTGGGGCAAGAACTTATATGTAAGGATGCTCACCAGAGCTATAAATTTAACCCAAACAAAAAATTAACAGCAACCTATATGTCCAAGACCTGGGGAATCATCTGGGGCACTTCAACTCTAGGAAAAACTATGCAACTGTTAAGAGTGGTACTGTAGAAATAATTATCCACACTGAGATATTCATGATACAGTTTTGAGCAAGAAAAAACTGGCAGTGGAAACCATGAAATTCTATTTCATTACTAAATACAGCATAGCAAAAGGTCAGGAAGGATATACTCCAAATTAATAACTAAGTGGCTAAAATAGGAACAGTTTTTATTTTCTTGGTTCTGATTGTTTCATTATGTATATATTCTGCTTTTGTAATAATAAAATTCAAAAATAAGGTAACACCCTCGAGATAATTGCCTGGTGACATTTACAACTTATAAATATGTACATTTTTGTTTCTGGAACAATTGAGTTTTTTTCGCCAGTCTGTAATTCCCTGGGCTCATCAAATGTGGTGCCCTTCTTCCCATGAATCTGGGAACTTAAAATTTTTACTTTCTGCAGAAGCAGAAGTTAGTTACTGACTCAGCTGAGAGGCTGTGACAGCCTTGGCACCAGGAAATCCATGAAAATACAATGAAGTTGCCTTGGGTCCTGCTGTTTGTTGTCATCTTATCAGATGGAAATGCTGGCAGGATTTCCTTCAGGTTTGAAGGGCATGTTGGGATGGTCTGGCTTCAGGGCTGGGTTGCTTACAAGGTACCCACTAGGTGAGGATTTGGGGGTGCATTTCAAAGATCCAGGGAGATGTTCTCCAGGGGTTCCACAGCAGGCCCCTGGGAGAATCAGGCCATGTGTAGTAAGACGCTCTGGACAGAATCACCGTACCATGACTCTAGGGAGTCGCAGGGGTGATGCTTGTCCAGGGCAGGGCGGCTGTGAGGAGCATCTGAGCTGATATTTACATGGGCACCTCACCACCCATGCCCTGGGGCAGGGACGGGAGGCAGGGATGAGTCTACTCGATGATGTCAGTGACTCTGGGTAGCGGAATAAGGGCTGGGGAGATGCCTGCTCCTCCCCTCCCACTTGCCCTTCTCCGTCTCTTAGCGACTCTGCTGGTCACCCAGTTGCTCAAGCCAAAAAGCTAGGAGTCCTTCTTCAACACCGTCTGACTTGCCGCACACATCAGATCTCTCA